TAGAGACAGAGTCTCACTTTATCACCCTCAGTAGAGTACTATGGTGTCACAGCTCACAGCAACCTCCAGCTCTTGAGCTTAGGCAATTCTCTTTCCTCAGCCTCATGAGTAGCTGGGACGTTGACAGGTGCCTGCCACAACGCCCGGCTATTTTTTGTTGCGGTTTGGCTGGGGCTGGGTTCAAACCTGCCACCCTTAGTATGTGGGGCTGGCGCCCTACTCACTGAGCCAGTCGCTGCCCATAGGGGCATTCCTTTTAGGAATTTTATCTCTCTTTTCAGAAAATCTCTCCTGAATTTATGAAGATACATTCTTTTATAACCTACTGACTATGGGAACCACATCTGGTTCGTTGTGATCGGACTAGTGGGGATTTTCCTTTCTTCCTAGTGTCCTTGATGAAGGCAGGGAAGTAGTAATAGGGTTGGAGCTTGCTGGGAATTTATTCCTCATCAGAAATTTCCAGTCAAACCGTCAATTCTGTTTTTATCAGGTCATCTTGCAGTGTCTGTGATGTTTCAGTGAGTCATGGGTGAGAAACCAGGCAGACGGCTGTGCATGGGGCTTATTAGGAAATCCTGGAAGAACTGGATATTTCAGCCTTGTCAGTTTCTGGGAATTCACTATTGGGTAGATGATTTGAGCTATTTTAACATTTGTTTGTTTCCAAATTCTTCTTCTTCTTTTTTTTAGACTTTAAGTATAACTATGGGTAATCTGGGCATATTTGTACAGACCCTTTTGTTTATTCTCCTACCTCTCCTGCCTTTTGGCTTATTTGGACTTCCATTAGAAAGGACTAGCATCCGGAGAGAAAGGAAAATTTCTGGGTTTTGGTTCCGATAACTCTACAAATGTTAGCTTTTTATTTTTGATGAGAGGAAGTTGAAACTATCAGATGGCATGGGGTTTGGGATTTATCAGGGGCTTTTAATTGTAGACTTTTTCCTGATACAATGGATAGTCAGGAGCTGTGTCAGTTAAGGTGGTATTCAGGAGGGATGGTAATTTGGTGGGAAAAGCACCTAACTGCTTTGGCGTCAGATCTGAGTTTTAATTCTATCTCCATCACATATTATTGGGAGGGTTACTTGAGTACCCTGAGCCTAAGTTTGATGTAATAGCAGCAGCCAGCATGTGAGTGCTCACTGTGTGCCAGATACTGCAGTAAATGCTTTTACATTTATTACCTTACTTGCTTCTTCCAGTATTCCTGAGAGTAGGCAGTATCATTTCTGTTTCACAGATGAGGAAACTAAGGCTTGATAAATTGGTAAAGGGGATTGTGTCATTACATATAGCTATAAGAGGCACAACTGAGACCTGGATTGTGTGTGACACCACAGCCTGTGTTTTTAAATATCAGAGTGCCTGGCACATAGTTGGACCTCCACAAAGGGACTCTGTACTACCTTCACCCTATCCTCATCCATCCCTTTTCCTGTTTAAAGAAAATCTGAAACTGTCTCTCCATATTACTGCCACCACAGGCATCATAGTCTGGTGTATGTTGGTTTTGTTTTTGCTTTTTTATAGGAAAACTGGGAGAAAACATGACTCTTAGACGAGCTGCATGGGTGAAGGTGCCATCTGGATTCTACGTTGGCTCTTATGTCCACGGAACAATGCACAGTCCCTCCCTTCACAACCTGGTGCTGGGCAAGTACGCAGCCCTGGTTGTCTGTGAGACGACTGAGCAGAAAGCAAAACTTGAAGACTTGGGCCGCCGCCTCGGGCAGCATGTGGTGGGCATGGCTCCTCTCTCTGTCGGCTCCCTGGACGATGAGCCTGGGGGAGAGGCAGAGACCAAGATGCTGTCCCAGCCATACCTGCTGGACCCCTCCATTACCCTGGGACAGTATGTGCAGCCCCGGGGGGTGTCTGTGGTAGACTTTGTGCGGTTTGAGTGTGGAGAAGGTGAAGAGGCCACAGAGGCTGGATAGGTCTGCAGGCTTGTGGCCCAGGAGGAATGTTATGTTTAGTTCTGGATATCATTACAAAAAGGGTATTTCCTAAGTCTCTTCAAACTCAAATTTTGTTTTTCATTTGAGTTTATAATAAAATCATATACTTCATGAGTAAAGTTATTAAATAAAATAGTTACATAATTAAAAGCAGAATTTTTTCTCCTTGTTTGCATAATACTAGGTTTAGCTTTTTTGTGCCTTGTTTATGATGTGTTTTAGAAAACAGCAGGTGAGCTGTAGTGATGTACAGACAGTGTCTTGGGAACAGACATTAACAATTATGCTGCTATTCCCTTTGACATTGTGTCCTAAAGTTACTTTTCCTCCTTTCCTGTCCTTTTCCTTTTCCTTTCCCCTCCCTTTCCCTTTCCTTTTTTTAATGAGACAGTTTTACTCTGTTGCCTGGGCTAAAGTGCTGTGGCCTCAGCCTAGCTCATAGCAACCTCAAACTCCTGGGCTCAAGCCATCTTCCTGCTTCAGCCTCCCAAGTAGCTGGGACTACAGGCTCCCACCACAATGCCCAGCTAACTTTTCTATTTTTAGTAGAGATGGGGTCTTGGTCTTGCTCTTGCTGAAGCTGGTCACAAACTCCTGACCTCAAGCCAATCTCCTGCCTTGGCCTCCTAGAGTGTTAGGATTATGGGTGTGAGCCATCATGGCTGGCTGTACTCCTGAAACTTTTAGCTTAAACATTCTGTGTTACTCCTTCTGTGACCTGGAACTCTGTTCTGCTTTCACTTTGTAACACTTTGAACTCAGGTTTTGCCCTGGAACTTCCTCACTTACATTACTTCTGCTGTATGGATTTCTTCAGAACTATTGGTTCAAACTTAAGAGTTGCCTGGAAAATGTGTGTTCATTTGTTGATGTCTATAGCATGATGTGAGGGTGTTCTGCAGTGGAATACTGGTTCTGGGCTCACTTACTGAAATGAATAACACATGGGTCTATTTCTCCTTTGGATAATGGAGTGTGGGTGGATGGGTGCTGAGGTTTCCTGGACAGCTGTAAGGCAGATTTTGACATTCTTATGCCAGAAACTGGAATTAGAGCACCCTAGTTATCCAGAGCGCCTACTCAGCATTGCTTCTTTCCTTTCCCAGTATGAAAACATTTCTCCCAGCATAACATAAAATTACCAAAACAGGTCTGTCGAGGTGGCTCACACCTGTAATCCCAGCACTTTGGGAGGCTGAGGCAGGAGGATTGCTTGAGCCAGGAGTTTAAGACCAAGACCAGGTTGGGCAATGCAGTAAGTCTCTGCCAAAAATTTAAAAAACTTAGTCAAGCATGGCAATACATACATCTATTATAGGAGTAAGGTAGGAGTTTGGGGTTATAGGAAGCTGTGTGCACCACTGTACTCCAGCTTATGTGACAGAGTTAGACCTTGTCTCTTTAAAAAAAAAGGAAATATGTGTGTATATATATATATATATATATATACACACATATATATATATATATATCTCATAACAAGCAAACCCCAAATACTGAAAAGAACTCCATTTGTTCATTATAGGTACCTTTATTTGAAAAGTTAAAAATGCTATGGCACATAACAGATGTGGGCATTTGGATTTTGACCTTGGGGTATGTATGTGATTTCAGTGATTTGCAGTTAAATAGGTTTTAGAAGTACTAGTCTTAAAATCTAAAACAAATGTAGGTCGTGGCACAATATTAAACATTTCATCTTGGTGTTTTGGTTGTCTGTCTTTAAACTTCTCCACATTTGTGCAGTTTTAGTGCTTTCTTTTGAGGCTTTAGGTAGAAGTCCACAAAGACCAAAATGCAGGTGGTTGACATTTTAAGTATGTAACGACCAAGGAGTGCAAGGATGGGAAAAATGGGAGAACATGCCATGATTTGCAGATCACTATCTAAATGCAGTAGCTGAATGGCGGGCAGAAGTTGGCAGGTCAGTTCTTTCTTGATACGGCACTGTGTGCTATCTTGCAATGGGCGTGTGCCTTCTTGCCTTAGAAAAGCCCCTTTTCTTTCTTCAGTTGGAGCTGTTTCCAGCCAGGCAGAGCAGCAAATTGCCCTCTGGTGATGCCAAACACAGACACAAAGTCCTGTTCAGAGAGGTGATTCTAAGAGAGAAAACAAAGTTCCTAGTTAGGAAGTCCTGTCAGTGTCCACAGAGGTGAGGAGAGTGGGATCGAGCGAGGCCACACCATGGGTGCTAGAAGAGAAGTAGAATGAATCTTTCAGAAAGGCTGTGATGGACTTAGATTAGTCACTTGGGGAGGTGGGGCTTCTCCAGGTCTCACAGAACTCCATTTTGGCCTATGCAGGAAGCTCACTGGAGTCCCTCCTCTCTCATAGCCTGGCTAGCCCAGTTTCCTGCCAGAAGGCAAACAAATGTGTTATATATTATGGGTGAATTATAGACATTCGGTTTTGGCAGAATGGAGAACTAAATCAAGTGATGATTTGCCTTGCTTTATGGTCTTAACTACCATTTTCATCCAGAAATTTTCAAATGCAAGATCAGCAGGTGGATCTTACCAAAAGCATAAAATTCTTATAAACATTTATATAATGTAATGAATTGTTTTATATCCAAGTAAAGGATATAAGGCCTCTGCTTTCAAGAAAGTTATAGTCCAGAAACTTAATTGGTTAGATAAGACATCGTGCAACGCCAGAAACTCTTCTCAAATCAACTTCCTCAAGGGAAAAATAGATTCATTCATTTGACAGGAATATGTCAATTCACTCAGGGAGTGCCTAGTGTCTGCTAGCACAGTTCTGGGTACTGAAAACCTGAGGATATGGCACTGAACAAGACAGATGAGGTCCTTCCTCTTTAGGGTATTACTAGAGCAGGAGGCAGACAGTGAATAGGCATCAAAGGGGACTTCACTCTCTTCCCTCAGGGAGACAGGATTAGGGTGGCCAGGGCAGTCAGGGAAGGCCTCCCCAGGGGGTGGCATTGGAGCTGAGACCTACATGGTAAGAAGGTGCTAGCTCTGTGATGACTTGGAACAAGCATGAGGACTAGCAAACCTAAAGGCCCAAAGGCTGGAAAAGTACATTTGGGAACAGAGAAGCAGCCCCTTGTTGAATGCTGGTAAGTGAAGAGAGCAGAGGTGTATGAGACAGCATTGGAGAGGTAGGCAGGGGCCAGGTTGTGTAGGCTTTCTGGTTCTCATTAAAGTACAGTGGGAAGCCATTTGATATGTTTTAAACAGGACAGTGCTATCTGTTTTAAAATATCCCCTTGGCTGTTGTGTGGGGAATGGATTGTAGGGACAGGCATGGCAGCCAGTTGGATCACAGTAGTCTGTGATGGTTGGACCAGACTTGACAGCAGCGAGATGGAGAGGAGTGGACAGAGGCAGCTGGTGGGTTGATGCAGGAGTGAGACAAGGAATCAAGAGGGAGCCCAGGGTTTTGGTTTGAGCTACTGGGTTGCGCAGATGTCCATCCAGTGCCTGTGACATACCTGATTATCCTAGGCCATTTACTAAAAAGGGCACTTATCACAGAGAGCCCCACTTACCTCCTTTTTGGCAGGGTTCACATCCTCAGGCAGCTCCTGATTCTGGTTTTTCAACAGAACTTCTATGGGGTAATATTTTGGCTCACTGTCAGGATTCAGGGAGAGGGTGGCATTCTTCATGTCCTAGGTTGGAGAAGATCAGAAGGTAGGCAGAGGACAATAGACTGTTCGGTGTCTGTGTGATTCCAGTTTTTGTGTGTGTGAGTGATATTTAAGATTCTGACTTACACCACTTCACCTTTTCTAATCATTGTTCAGAACAATGGTTCCCAAACCTAGCTGTATATCAGAATAATCTGGGAATCAAAAATAGTCAGATTTGGGGATCCTTTGTGGGAAAATCGATTTAGTAAGTTTAAGATCCTGTGTGTCGGCTTGGCGCCTATAGCTCAACCGGCTAAGGCGCCAGCCACGTACACCCAAGGTGGCGGGTTCGAATCCCCAGCCCGGACCCGCCAAACAACAATGATGGCTGCAACCAAAAAATAGCCGGGCGTTGTGGCGGG